ATTTTATTGAAATCAGAGAGGGATTTGCAATGGACAACAATGAAATGAGGTCACAGCCCCAGCTGATATGTCTAATTAATAGGCTACATCCACTCCATCTGTCCCACAAAACGCTGAAGAAAGAGCATAGAATAAAACATCTCCATCCCGAGTCGGTGCTGCATAAAAGTAACAAATCCTGCATAAAAGTAACAGCAATTAGAGGATTTCATCCTCTGAAGTATCTAAACATTTGCACCAGCATATTTCATCAGATTTCTATTTAGGGGAATTTTGTGAGTAAATTACAGAGTAAGAACTCAGATTACAAGAAATCTGTGCTTATTGTACATATTGTGGCAGATCCTGAAAGCCCACTCTCCTATGTAGGTGCCTGAACCCTCCCATGAAATGCTAAGCTAGCCTTTCTGATTCACCTAGGTGTGTCCTGCTGTCTCTGGGCTAGGCATATAATACATGCTGCCAATCTCCCTTCCAGGATTTGTTTTGACGATGCAGCTTTTGGCTTGGCAAATGGCTTTAGGACTCCTGCTCCAAGATCTAAACCCACCACAGCCACATGACTAAAACACTAATCCTGTATAATAAATTAATTCTTAAGGTTCAACTTTGTTAAAGAAATGTTGACAGGTCAACTTCACATCCACAGGGCTGGATGCCAAGTAAAGTATGTATTATTTGTGCCTCCTGCATAAACTTTAAGTTTAATTGACTGATAATCATCTTTCCACAGCCAGTATAAAACCTGTGCACATTCCACACCACATGCTCTGTCTAATTTTAGAGAAATCAAATCATAGGCTCCCTGATGTGGACAAAACTCGTTTGCTGATTAGGTAGTACAGACAAACCATACCCATGATATATAGCGTCAGAGACAGTGAAACTTAGGATGAAGAGAGAGAGTACCTACAGAATGTAGGAACAATCGAGTTTGGAAAGGAGGAATGGACCACAGCATTGTTTGTTTGTTTCTTGTTAATGAGATACTGATAAAGTCAAATATGCAGACAGGAATCTCTGTAGCTTCCTAACAATGCCTGTGAACTGGAAGAAGGCTACCTGGCCAAAGCCATGGTGGGACTGCTCCAGGCTCACCTGCAGGCAGAGGGTTGAGCTCCTGGCTCAGACACACCTGCTCTGCCTGTGTTTAATTTACTGCTAAAAATGCAGTGATAGTGTCTCCTAGTGGCTATATTCTTTAAGGAACAGACCCAAACCCAAACATCACACCTGAAATTCCCACTCTTCAATAGTATACAAAATATAAACACCACCTGTAGACTTTTAGAGCACCTCAATCAGCATCACTCAAACAGGTAAAATCACATAAATAATTTAAATACTCAAGGTTTTAATATCTGAGTTACAAAGTCACATTCTGTTTTCACATGTAAAACCTATCTCTAGGTTATACAAAAATGGGTTGTTTGGTAGGTTTTTAACAGTAGCAAGGTGTTTCATCCTTTCTCTTTTGGAACAGTGACATTAAAGAGAGATGAGTGCCATAACAAACCATGTGAAGCAAGGTGTTCAGGACTTAACTCAAAGCCTGAAGCCAAGCATGGGCATAGATTGGATCAGAGTCCACCTCATTTAACCTTTAGGTCCTCTCAGACCCCATAAAAGCAAAGGAAATGTTAAAATGCTCCGCTATGGTAAGTCTCCACAGGTTGAACCTACCGCATACTGAGAACTACACCAGCACCACAATCCGTGATTATGAACTGATGTCACTGCATGTTAGAACCAAGTTAAGGACTCAGGAAAAGCAATGCTAGCATAGATCAGAAGGCCACTTCTCCTAGCAGCACCACAGTGCCTGCAGTCATGGCCAGCAGAGGACGTTTAAACAGAGTACATAAAACCAAGCAACCCTCAACAGTGTCAATACCCAGCTCTAGTCCTTCCTCCTTGAACCAGCTGTTTTCTGTTTCCAGCACCAGTTAACCACCAAAAATCCATCTTGGTAATGAGATCTGTATCCAGGGATTTTGATAAGGGAAGACTTAACAGTCAAGATACAATGTATTCAACAGTAAGCCAAAGCCCCACTAGCTGGAACTATGGCAAGGTAGACCCAGAAGACACATGGGTCTGATTTTGCCATGTTGGGGACATTTCTTTTCTAATTATCAACCAATTGAAGCTTCCTGTTGTCCACCATCCTCTTGGAACAGAAAGATTTGGGCAGCAAATTTCCATACATGGATAAGCTTCACCAAACAAGACACTGAAATTTAAAAAAAAAAAAAAAACAACACTGCAGAGGTGCAGACAAGGAAATCTTTCCTAGCAAATTCTGGCTCTAAGTGACCACTGCTTCTTTACCATGGCATATGGATTTGCCTCCCTCTATGTACACATCAGGGCCTTCTGCTGTTTGCCAGGTATCCTGTCACATCCCAACATCCCCACTTTAGGGATTTTATGTAAGCTCCCCTGTTAGAAGAGAAATAACACACTTCAAAAGTGGCTGGAGTAGTTCTATCACAACAAAATAAAGCCTCTATATACTCTGGATCTCTGCTAACGGGGAGTAACCTTGAACAGCCTAACAGCCACTAGAGATAAACCTGGAGTGAGACCGCTGTGTTCCCACCTCCAGCAGGTCTTTCTCCATGTACCTGTGTCTGTCTGAGATATACTGCCCTGCTTGCAGCAGCGGGCACTTTCTGCTACCTCTTTTCCATTGTGCCAGTGCTGGTGGAAAGCCTTTCTGGAACAGGTCTGGTCAGTATCACTTTCCCTGAGGATCCATATAGTGCCTGAGTTTGCTGACCTTTAGGACAGAGTGTGAAGCTTATCTCCATCCTCAGCATTTTACCTGAGGGGAAGGAAAGATAACAGTTCAGTTTTGGAAGAGGCTGTCACTGGCAAAAAGGGACTGGCAAGTGAAAAGCTTCCCACTCAACTTCTCCACACCTCCTTCAGCTATCGCTGAGCACTAGTTGAATCATACCAAATAAATAGTTTCAGCTTGTCTTAGACTCCATAAGTTTCCTAAAAAGTTTGAAAGCAAAGCCTAAACTTATTGTTTCTTTTCTCATCCTGACAATTTAGCTCTGTCCATTAAGGAAAGGAAAGGTGTACATCTGCGGAAGCCCTTGTTTTTTAGCCCACCTGTTCAGCCTGTTTCATTTACAACAACCTCTCTTTCTACAACCATTTAAAACTTCTTTTCATCCAAAGCTGACAATCCCACAAACACAGCCACCTCTTGTCATATCTCCTCTTATTAAACCCCTGCACAACAGGTGCCACATTTCCCCACTGGTCTGAAACAAGCAGAGACATCTACAGCCACCTTCTGTGACCAGAGCACCAGTGGGGAGTGAAAATCAGGGTAGCCCAAGGATACAGCAGGGACAGAGAAGACTGAGCTGCAATCCTATGGATGCAGGCCGGTTCCTCCATCTCCGAGCTTCTTCTTTGTGGCTGTCAGTATTTGTTGACTGTACCTAGTTAAGTGATTTTTGCTGTGAGAGGAAATGCTACAGGGCAGATTAAACTGCTAGGCTGCTATTAAACAAGGGTGTACAGACTTGGAGCAGAAATTCCCACAAAGACAAAGCAGCAGCAGCAAACAATAAGCTGGTTCCCTTTATCCCAGCCCTCTGAAGAGCCAGAAGGGCCCCACAGATCTGCCCTCTGCCACACCTGGGCATTGTCCTTCTCCTTAGCAGCCAGAGCTTACACTTCACAGCCTTCCACTCCTGCCAAGCCAACTGCTCAACAGCCTCTCCGCAGAGAGCCAGCTCCTTCCTTAGTCCAGGTAATGGGACACTTGCGCACACCCTCACAGACACATGCCAGGTTCTTTAAATCAGCTCAGCAAGTCTTTCAGCGCAAGAGACAGAGAAGCAACATAAACAGAGCTTCCTTCTGCCCTCTGCCCTCAGAGAGTCCTATCCAGAGCAGATCATGCTGATACAACCTGACAACATCCAGGGATAAGGCGGAGGCTCACACCAAACGCACTCTAATACTAGCAAGTATTATAAGAGGGCAGCCAGAGATCAAAGAAACATTTCCTTTTCTTTCTTACTCCCAGTAAACTGAAAAAGCCCCCAGCCCCATCAAAGTGACCAAGTGACTGATCTTGTCATGGGTAGGGAGAAGGGTTTCCTTCTCAGGGACGTTACCAGGGCTTGAACTGTGTTTGCTTTTCTTTAAAGCCTCTTGTATAACCCTTCACCCTTCACAGCAGTTCTCTTGCTAGCACTGTAATGCATTTGGCACAAAACTGCAAAATTGCAAAACTCCTTGAGAAGTTGGATTTGTTTGTTGCCGGCTTGAGGGGCGGGTGGGGGAACAGCTCCCCAGTTCTTCCTGAACTATGTATTATTATTATTATTATACTTAGGAGGCTACTTCCGCCTCCACCTGAGTTAACCATTCACTTGTCTTCTTCTTCCAGGCAGGTGGTATAAGCTTGATCTGCCCTCCAGGGGTTAAATAAAGAAGTGGTGCGAGGAAAAACAGAACCTTTCGAGTTGCTCATATTTGAAATTCTTTTTTTTCCCTCTCTTTCTCCCTCTCCTGAATGGGGTTAGTTCGCTTCTCTTTCCCTCTCGCTCCTTGAATTATTCCGTTAGGGAATGACGAGGACTAACAATGAAGCAGATGCCTGGAAACTGTTATCCAAAGCACAATGCCGGACCACCCTCCACCCTCGCGTTACCTCCCTCCCCGCAGACAGTCGCCCTCACCCTTCCGTCGATGCCATGGTCCAGAAAGCCCCCCTGTCTTCTCGGGAGTCCGAGGGGTTATTTTCGGCAGGAGGAGGTTGGCTCTCTGGGATAACCTTAGCTCGCGGCTGCGAAGGAGCACGCAATTCCTTGTAATCCTTGGGGGCTCCGCAGGGCGAGGATCCGGCAGCTCCGCTCCCCGCCGCTCCCCCGCCCCGCAGCGGGCTCGCCGTGCCCCGGAGACCAGCAGTGCCCGCCGGCCAGAGGAGGAGGAGGAGGAAGAGGAGGAAAAGGAGGAGGAGCGGGCACCTGGGCTGCGGTCCCCGGCGCCCTCCCCTCGCCGCGGGGTGTGTGTCTGTCCGTGTGTCTGTGTGTGCGAGCGGTGGGGGCGTCTTCACACCGGCGCGGCGCTGGCGGAGGCAGGATTGGAAGGTTTTAGCCCTCGAGCCGTGGATTTGCAGTCAATCCCTCTCTATTTTAGGCGCGGGCTGACATCACGAGCGCTGTTACTCCTATACATGCCCCCAGCCGCTCCTTGCCAGCAGCGGGCAGGGGGTGGAGCGGAGGGACCCCCTCGCAGGGGGAGGGTCGGGTGCTGCCCACCGCGACCTGCCCCACTCGCTGCCGACCGCCACCGCCTCCCCGGGGCAGGCCCGGCCCCCCGCGATGGGACTCGGGGCAGCCGGCCGAGAGCGGCGGGGAGGAGCGTGTCCAATACACACACACCCCCGGGGGGGTCCGGTTGCGGCCGCATTTCCTCTGCCGAGTGCGCGGGTCGGCACTCCGCGATCCCGCAGCCGAGGCACCTGCCCCGTCACGCCGCGGCGGCAGCAGCCTCCCGAGGCCGGTTCAGCCCTTCGCGAGAGCCATGCTGTCTCGACGGCCCGGTGCTGTGTGCTGACCGCGGCAGCAGCACCCGGGGGCCGTGGCGAGGGGAGAGCGGGACTACACCGAGAGCTATGGGCCCCTGCCCTGCCCGGCCCGGCCCGGCGCGGCCCTGCGTCTCCGGGCGGTGCTGCCCCCTGCCGGGAAGGCGCCTCCGCGGTGGCCCCACCTGCTGGGTCCAGGCCGGAGCAGCGAGGCCCCGAGGAGACTCGGCTGTGATTGCAGCGTGGGGTGGAACGTCGTCGTTTCAGTAGCTGCGCTCCGGTGCTGTGGCACGGGTCGCTCGTGGCGTGTCAGGACACTGCCGTGAACCTCGGCTTCAGTTTCCCGCAGCTGAGGCTCCTCTTGACAACCTCGGTGCTGTCTATCTGGGGACAACACAAGAGGGACATGGATCTATTGGAGAAAGGCCAGAGGAGACCACAAAGATGCTCAAAGCCCTCAAAGGGCTGGAGCAGTTCTGCCGTGGAGACAGGCTGAGAGAGCTGGGCTTGTTCAGCCTGGAGAAGAGAGGCTCCGGGATGACCTTAGAGCAACTTCCAGTGCCTAAAGGGGCTGACAAGAAATGTGGAGAGGGGCTTTTGACAAGGGCCTGTAGTGACAGGACAAGGGGGAATGGCTTTAACCTGACAGAGGGGAGATTGAGATGAGATATTAGACAGAAGTGTTTCCCTGTGAGGGTGCTGAGGCACTGGCACAGGTTGCCAAGAGAAGCTGTGGCTGCCCCATCCCCAGCAGTGTTCAAGGTCAGGTTGGATAGGGCTCGGAGCAACCTGGTCTAGTGGAAAGTGTCCCTGCCCGTGTCAGGTTGAGCTTTAAAGTCCCTTCCAACCCAAAGCAGACTATGATTCTCTGAACCTGATGTCCTGTTTCACAGGGAGCCAACATTTCTGCCATAGCCTGTTCTCTCTGTCCCAAGGATGCAGCACAAAGCCAACAGCCATGCAGGAATCCCTCTTTCACAATACCGAGCCACAAGGCTGCAGGAGATGCACCATGGAGCAAAGGCTGCCTGACCCTGCCCACTGCTCCCACTCCCCTAGGATGCCTTTCCTGCAACCATGCTGATCCTGTCCTTACAAATGGCAGGATGCAGCTTAGCATGCATTCCCTCATCCTAATCAAATACATTTTTTTTCCTGTGATCTTACCATGGACTTAGGTTTTCAAGGGAAACAAGTTTCCTGGGCAATTCCATTAGAGGCACGGAGGTATGCGTGGTAAGAGCATGTATTCAGTATGTCTGTTGCCTTACAGTCTTATTTTTCAGCTAAGCACCCTGGCTTTTGGAAGGAATTTAATGCACCCCCAGCCCCAAATACATACAAAGAGAGAAGTATAGATCCATTTGAGAGGGTAAGAATGCAGAAAGTGGTTTGGCTGTCTTTTGGTTTTCTTTCATAGCAACATCTTTAGTGCCTTTCCAGAATGCACAGCTCTTCCTCAGAGGGAAGATGTGTTGCTATCCAAGTTGTGCTGTTTCACACCCTTCTCCCAACAGATGGCCTAGATCCTCACCTGTTTAGAAAGAGATGTTTGAAATAGCTTTGCATTTCAAAAGCAGACCCTAGCTATCAAAGGGATTAGTGATTCCTTCTCACAGATTGGGTTTTTCCAAACATTCATCCCTATTTTGAGCAACCTGGTCTAGTGGAAGGTGTTCCTGCCCATGGCAGGGGTGTGGAATTGGATGAACTTTAAGGTCCCTTCCAACCCAAGCCATTCTATGATTCTATGATAGGTCATACAACAACAGAGATAAAACCATTGTTTGAATTTAGAGATTAGCCAGAATTGAATCTAGCATTCCAATGTCATTGAGGCTCAGAAGTAGAACCAAATGCTACAGGTAATTCATCTTTCTATAAAAGACTATACTGAAATCTGAATCCCAGGGTTGAAGATAGCCTGACCACTTCTTGCTTCTGTTTTCTTGAAGAGTATCATGACTGTAAAAAGAAGAGCACACACAGCTGTCACAAGCTCCTGTGATTTTCACTCCCTTAATTCCTGCAAGTTTCTCTTCAAGAGCATACTTTCATTTTATACACAATCAGTGATCAGCTGTATTGTTGCCCAGAAACTTTCAGCTATTCCTTGCCAGATCTGTGAGTGGTTTGAAGCCAAATGGGGATGTGATTCAATACCAAGGAGGAGTTAAGAGGATCAATAACCCTAGGCATGGCTGATTTTTAGTGAAAGGAAAAGAGTGAGGGCTAAAGCTAGAATTAAGACAGACTTTTGCAGATTGGTGTGGACTGCCAAGTTCTCTGATGGGTAAATCTGAGAGAAAACAAAAAAACAAACCCACATCTAGGGCTTCTTCTCTCAGTTGTAGCAGTGAAGAGTAATGTTATGGAGAGCAGTGCACTCATGGAGTCAAGACTGAGAGAAGAACCAGCCCACAGATCTTTATGATTTCTGTTTTAGAAGATAATTTCTCTTACTATTAGAGTGTGGAGACTCTGATTTAATGTCATCACAGAAGATCTCTGACTGGGCAAGCCAGACTCCAGCAAACAATTCTATTCCTTTCTCAATCTATTCATTGATACTGTTGGAGGAAATGCATGTTGACTTTCTGCAAATCTGCTCTTGCCAAAACTGTCACCTAATTTCCTTTAACCCCTTCTGTCAGCAGGGGAGTACCACACGTTCACTGGCACATGTTCCTCTCAGCAGAGGAATGAAACATGTCTTATTTTTCACATTTAATTATGAATTTTTGGTGCTCTTGTTGCCACGCAGTTTGACAGCCAAGCATAATCTCCTGGCAGGAGGAGGCTGGGAAACAAGATAAAGATAAACAATATACTTTAGTTGTAGCCTTTACATTTTTGGATTCAAGCAACATCATCCCGGGTCCTGTTGCCAGTGAAAATAAGAAAAGTGCAAAACCATAATGCATTAAATCTTTCTGCCCAGGAAAGCAAAAAAATAAATTACATGGAGTGACATCGAGTAGTAATTGTCCTTTTAGCAGCAATTTTCAGGTTCAAAAGTAGGTGGAAACTACTGAATGCTGAGAAACTCTTCACAAGATTTCACAGCATCAGAGAATTGCAGCTGAAATCAGAGTTGTTATCTTACAATTGCCATAGCAGTGCAGTAGGCTACAACACATCTTCAGGGGCTGAGTCCTTCTTAGTGAGAGTACTAAATACTTTCATCAGAGCCCCAACCGTGACATGCAACTATTGCTGTGAGCTGTTTTGGGCACTGTAATAATTTGGAGGTGTTACGAACACCATGGTGTCAGAGATGCCTTATCCAGGAGTCATTACTTATGGAAGATATTCCCCGTCCCTACTCCCCAACTTTTACTAGGGCTCATCTCTAATCTTTAGCTACAACTGAATGGAGAACGATTTAATGAAAAGGAGAAGTGATTAAGGACCACGAGGACACCAAAATCTCTCTACTGCACTACACGCCCAATGGGAGAATCTTATACTTTAATGTCAAACAGTCTGGTAAAGAAAAGCCTCTGCTAAATGTGAGGAAGGACATTGTTCTTCACCCTGAAGAGCTACAGAAGAGCTGTTTTGCCACAACAGTATATGAATCAGAAGTTCTTCTGAGCTTTTCATAGGTCTTCCTTTGAAATAATCTACATGGAAAAATGTTTTTAAAAGTATGTTTTAGGATTTCATCCATTCAAGATACAAGTGGGAGAGAACTCCCCTGTATATTTCATTGCAATGGATCATGTACAACAATAGTAGCACTGGATGTATTAGGGTTAAAAAAAAAAAAAAATATTGAAAAAAAAGTTGTTATTCACGTAGTAATTGAATTTTGTGCTAATTCTGCATTTCAGTGTGCCTGAAGAGTCCCAGGTGAGAGTCACGTGCAAACAGACAAGGGCAGTAGAGCGTCTCTCGAGTGTGACACAGATAAAGCAACAAGGAATCTGCATAATGTCAGACATAGATATGTAGGTTAAAAAAAAACAAACAATGGTTTATTTAAATGTGTAAAGTACTTGGGAGGGAAAAAGATTACATTGTATTATGGCAATACAGAGAGCACACCCCATAACAAGCTCATCTATCGAATGAATTCAGGCTACTCTTTTCCAGCTTCTCAATCCGTTCACATGGATCCTTGGGAGAGGCTTGCTGTTGCTTTCTCTAGGGGACTCCACACTACAGATGAGTTTCAGTCAGAATTTGCTGTCCTGTTTCTGTGTGTCAGACTTTTCTGTGTGTCAGACTAAGGAGCAGAGCATCATCCTCCCACCAGGGGAGACAGGCAAAATACGGCAAAAACTTCTCATGCACTAAGACCCTTTGTCATGGGTTGAATAAAAGTAACCTGATGGAACATCTGATCCTAGGACAAATTACCAGGCTGTCTGCCTTAACCTTATCCCACATGTGATTCATGACTGGGATAAGAAGCCTAATGCAGCAGAGACTGAGAGAGATATTACGATAGCTGTAAAATGCCATTTCCAGGCATGGCTTTTTATTTCAGATTCTTCTCAATCCAGTCTTTGAAAGGAAGAGCTTTGGTATAGCCACTGTAGAGTTCTAGGCTGCAAGATTTATCATAACCCCAGCTCACTAATCCCATCAGGTGCCACCTTAGCTCAGAAGATGCTTTTCCGGGCAAAGTTATAGCTGCAATCCCACCAGTCTCTGCAGGGCAGATATTAGAAAAGGTGGTGTGGTCTCGTTTGGCACAGAACATGCTGTCGGTGATGCTGACTTGTATCCCATTATCCTCATACTGTTGCTC